TACCGTAATGAAACAATTCTACACTTTAACCTTTCACGTTAACACACATGTATGTCACCTGTATGTGACTTATTTATGTTTTTTTTTTGTTATGATGTCTATAGTGGCTGGTGCCACTTGTAGTCCGGAAAATACGGTAATTAAATGGACTTTAAAGCCTTTGAAAACGACTCAATTAGATATTTTTGTGTTAAATCTCACAAATTTAAGAGCAAGGAGCTTCCTGTTCACATACAGAACAAGCAGGGCTTCGTATTTTCTCATAGCTGTTTTTTTGTAAGCAGATGTGATTTTAAAGTGTTGATTCCCTTTATTTTTAGCAGGATAAACGGTGCCTGTTCTACCTCTGAGATCATAACCATCATAATTTGTCACGTGCCTGAGTCCAGGTCCAGCTCGTTGAATAATTTACAGACCTTGAGTTTAAATAACTTAACATTTCAGATGCTTTCTGCCTCTTTCTGGCCAGTAGAAAGGATGCGAAAGGGAATAGGAGGCTCTGAAAGGTCCAGCGAGCATCTTTCTGGTGCTTTTAGTTTCCTGTTTAACTCTAAAATGGGGTCATGTTGTGCCTCTTTCTCCTATAAACACATTCCAGTCTTTCCAAACCCAGAATCTGATCTGAAACAAGATATCTGAGCAGGGGGGGGTTTTAAATGTCACTCTTTATGCACACGCTGAAGTCTAAACTCTATTTAAAGTAATTTTCCCGCAGAAACACCAAACAGTTTCGACTGTTTTTTTTATTATTTTCGACTCGATTCGACTGATTTCTTTCACATAAAATCCAGAGGGGGAAGGAAACTGCCCGTTTAAAGAGTCGCAGTAGTTTTTGTGGTATATATTCCTGAACCGGGCCGGTTTCCGGAGCCTGACGAGCCGCTCTGTCTGTTTTTTTTTTCAGTGTGCGTCACCTTTCTGGGGAAGTTCTACCAGCTGCTGAAGGACAGCAACACCAAGTTCAACAGCGCCGACATCGAGACAGCGCTGGTCTCCAGCTGCAAGGACGCCAAAGGCAAAGAGAACCGCTTTGTGAGTACCGCCCTCTGTCAGCTCACGGCCCAAGAAGCAGGAAATGTAAAGAACATGTCCGAGTTTCTGCTGCTCAGAGAAGCTGTTTCAGCTCCTGAACTCATGTTTCTGCTTCTGTCTGTAACATCTGCTGGAACAGAGCTCATTTAGTGGAAATCTGAGCTGCTTCTGGAGGAGAAAAGCAGGAAATCTGAGTTTAAATTTGAGATATTCTGATTTATTTTACTTTTTTTAGTCATTTATCTGATTCCCAAATTAATTTGTGGGATTATTTCATCTTCTTGTGTAAAAACGGAGGTCTTTCTATCATTTTAGTGTTTTCAGAGGATTCTTCATCAAACTGAGCAGTGAGACACTTTAAGCCTCAATTTGTCCTCTCAGGTTAAACTGAGTCTGTTTCAGCTCCTGAACTCATGTTTCTGCTTCTGTCTGTAACATCTGCTGGAACAGAGCTCATTTAGATAGATAGATAGATAGATAGATAGATAGATAGATAGATAGATAGATAGATAGATAGATAGATAGATAGATAGATAGATAGATAGCAGCTCTACACACATATAAATGCAATATGAAAATGTATAAATAAACAGTATTGGTTAAAGTAGTAAAGTAAAATAAAATAAGTTTAAGGCGGTTTAGGGTTAGAAACGACCCAAACTGGCCTTAAAGGCGTCAGGAGGGTTCAAATTGTTTGACTTCATGGTAGGGTTGTCAAAAGTATCTATACTCCAAAAAGTATTGATACTAAAACGTTGTATCCGGATATGATACTCATTTTCAAATCTACCGATACCACCCCCACCCCCCATACGACGCTGACCTGCCGACGCGTTCACCCCTTCCCTCTGATTTATTTATTTACGTTGTGTATGATCATTAACGTGACTTTAGCATTGAATTGCTAGCTGCGGCTAATGGCTAATAATAACACGCGAACATTAATCAAGTCCGTTTGTACAATAAGTCCAAACAAGTTTAACCAAAAAATATTTATTTCTCACAATTATGAAGGGTGGAGGGTTAGGGTCAGGGTCAGGGTTAGGGTTTTGGGGTCTTTGTTTTTATCCTTGTGGTATAGAAAATGGTATCAAGTATCAAATATTTTCCCGAGTATTGCTATACTAAAATTTTAGTATCGTGACGACCGTACTTCATGGAAATGAGCTCTATTCTGACATCCATAAACTCTGTGAGCCAGACCATGAGGTGTGAAACCAACTGGGGGTGGTTTTTAGTCTGAACAGAGTCTGGGGGGGATTTAACGTGGTGTTTCTGGGCTAAAACAGTGACCTGGAGCCTCTGTTTCCGGTTGTTTTCAGTGTTATTACATCGGAGCGACGAGCGACGCGGCGACCAAAATGATCAACGAGGTTTCTAAGCCGCTCAGCTCCCACGTCCCCGTGGACAAGGTCTGCGAGAAGCTCAAGAAGAAGGACAGCCAGATCTGCGAGCTGCGCTACGGTACGAGGCTCTAAACCTAAAGCTAGTCCCTAAACCTAACCCCAACATCTAAACCTAGTCCTTAAACCTAAACCTAGATCCCCAAACCTAACCCTAAACCAGAAGCCCCATAATCCCTAAACTTTACCCGAAACCTAAATCCCGAAACCTAACCCCAACCCCCTAAACCTAGTCCCTAAACCTAAACCCATAGCACCTAACCCTAGCCCCTCATCCCAACCCCCTAAACCTATAGCCCCATAATCCCTAAATCTAAATCCCTAACCCTAGCCCCTCACCCCAACCCCCTAAACCTAAACCCATAGCCCCATAATCCC